GATAGCGCCGCCTAGCGGCGCTATATACATAGGCCCCTGGTCACGTGCTCTCCACGTGTGAGAACATCAGACTTAATTCGTAATAACGAATTAATAATCCGTGATGTAACCCCGACCCAAAAAAGAGGTCTTGGGTTATAGTATTATTTTATATTTATGACTGGGTTTACTACTTGCATTAACTTCCCTTTTCTAATCTTTTATGATGTTTCATCTTTTCTACTGGTGACTTGTGTTCCAGTAGACCTTTGATCTTTTCCTACTTTTGTTAAAGCCTGTCTTTGATCTTGCCCACTTCCTGGAAGAATAGAGGATGTCTTTTGTGTCCTCTGCCTTTTATTACTGACTGGTGCCCCAGTTGTGTACTCCTCCAGAAGCTAAGCAGGATGTAGGGACACTTAATCCCTGGTTGTTGATCACACTTTGCAGAAGCTGTGAAAACCACAAACTCTGCTGAGTGTTCATCTGCCTGGTTACTAAATGACCAATCAGTATCAGAGTCTTGTGTGACAATTTGAAGTTTGACCAATGAGAGCCTGGCTATATGTGATCAAGGCATGGTCTTGGTGCTAGCTACCCCAAAATTTTAGCAGAGCTTCAAGGCATTCCTGATTCTGACATCGTGCTGACTGCATGCCTGCCATTTTCACCAGCCATTTTGCATCATTTTGTTGTTCGATTGGAGGATCCTGATTCCAAGTTCCCTCCTTTTTGCACGAATGTTGGCTCTCTGTTTTAGGTAAGTTGAGTAATTATCTATCATGTTTAGATTATCATAGTATATACCTTTTCACTGTGACTTTTGTAAGTTGTGAAGAGAATTGCTTAAATTGATTTTTCCATGAAGTCTGGACTTCACAAATTTTAGTGAGTCTAGACAAATTTATAAGAGTAGAGACTTTGGCATTTTGTGTATATTGTTACCAAGGTTAATGGTGTTCTGAGAGATTTCTAAAAGAATATTCACTTGGAGAGTTTTGCATCTTTTATTGCTATACCTTTAGACAAGTGTTTTAGCGAATTTGTGTAGTGAATTGGATCTGTGCATTTTCTATTTTATCTTTGAAGTTACATAGTGTTTGATAATGTTAGTAATGTGGCATGGACCACCATGTAACTCTCTGTTTTAGGCTAAAAAGACTGGACCGTGTCACTTCAAGGGAGAACTAGGCGGAGCCCTCTGCGTGTTCCCCGATCTGCCCTCAAGACACCATATTACCTGCTCCAGCACTTCTGAGATCCATCGGTATCCCCGGCGTCCGAGACCAACAGCTGTCCAGCACGTCGAAGAACCATCATTACCTTCGGCATCCAAGACATTGGAGTGACCCTAGACACAGCCATCAGCCCTACGCTAGACACAGCCACCAGCATTGCCCTCGACAAAGCCACTTCATCTTTCAAGACTCCGCAAGTATATCTTTGTTTTACTGTACCGACAAATGACGAGAGTCGTCATTTCTACTTCATCTTCAACTGAAGCTTTCATCAACTAGTCTACTTTGTCACATCATTCTTCCATCGTCTTCAAGCTCTTCTACACCATGTATGGACTCCAGAACTATCAAGGATGGATGAAATCACGAGTTTAATCATTTTATAGTTTTGGCGCCCTTTTTCTAAGCTCTAGCTTTGTATTTTAAATTTTACAGGATCCTGTGTTTTCTGTGAATTATATTTAACCTCACTGCATTTTCATTGGTATTGCCATTGCTTGAGACCATTTTATTTCTGGCAATAAAACATATTTCATAGTGTACGTAAATCCTGAATTGTGAGAAGTCAAGAGTTTTTTCAAAAGGGAGTTAAATTAATACAAGATCCTGTTATTTTGAAATGTGAACCACGGGTTACAGTAATAACAAATTAAATAATCCGTAATAACGAATTAAATCATCCGTAATAACGAATTAAATCATCCGTAATAACGAATTAAATAATCCGTAATAACGAATTAATAATTCGTAGTAACGAATTAATAATCTGTAATAACGAATTAAATAATCCGTAATAACGAATTAATCATCCGTAATAACGAATTAATAATCCGTAATAACGAATTACATAATCTGTAACATATAAACTTGCAGTGGCGCTAATGGGCTTTCGTAGGTTTCAGCCATTGTCCGGAACAAAAGAAAAATGCACCTTGTGGGGAACAGTGGCGTAGCCAGGAATTTTTCAGTGGGGGGGGGGGGGGGGGGGGGCCTGCCTGGAACATTTCTTGGGGGGGGGGGGGCGTCAATCGCTTCGCAAAAGTGGGGGGGGGGGGGGCATACCTTGATTATAACTGATGAAAGCGCGAAGCCCTTACGGCGTGGGTTCGGGGACCGCTTAAGGGCCCCGAAAAAAATTGGATTCTAGATGTTCTGTGGTGTGATTTGTAGCAATTTCTTACGACTTTCCTCCATGCTTTAACTAATATTTTCTTGGCAAAAGATAATTATTTGAACATCGTTTTCGAGGTTGGAGACATTGAATCAGCTATCGGTATTCTGAGCTATTGGCGTGGGGTTCGGGGCTCGCTTAAAGGGCACAGAACTGCAAGCTCCCAGTCCTGTGCACGGCTTCCACCCATAGTTTTTACAAACCCTGAAGTTCATGGCCCACAGCATGCCCAAATACCGAAGATTTTGAGGGCATGCAAATCGTGATTTGGCCGGCGCAGGCAATTTCGGACCGATTTACTGGTCTGCACCCCTAACCACTCGTCAGGAGAATGAGGGATTCCAACGATGATGCGATGTAATTATAAGGATGGGTGCGGTGAGGCGTGAGAAGGATGCAAACTGGTGAAGCTCGAAACCGGTGAAGCTGAGAAGGATGCAAGTTGACTGAGGGATGCTGGATGATCACTTCAGCGTGTAAGTACACAGTGAGGGGGCAAAGGGGAAGGAGCCCAGGGTATAGGTGACCCATAGGCGAGAACTGAACCTAAATTGTCCTAGGGTATAGGAGACCCATCGGACTTGGACTTGAGGATGGGGCGCCAGATGTCGCTGATGTAGAAACCGATGTCTTGGGGAACAGTGTTATGCTTGATGATCTCGATGGCTTCTCTGATGTGTCGGGGGTACCAGCGGTCGATGCTAGTGGGTAGTTCTGCTTGGCTCCAGTTGATCGGGTGGTCCTCAGTGTGGAATGTTTGACGATGGAAGATTTCTCGAAGTCTCCCTTCCTGCCATGGGCTTTGTGTTCATTGAGTCTGGTGGGGAGGTCCCTGCCAGTCTGGCCGATATACACTTTGCCACATTGACATGGAATCTTGTACACCCCTGGTCTGCATTCTGGGTCACAACGATCCTTGTGTGAAGTCAGCAGATTCTGCATCTTCAGAGGGGCTGTGTGGAAGACTCGAATTCCATGCTTTTTGGAGGATGCATTGGATGTGATGAGAAGTGGTGCCTAAGTAGGGGAGGTTGATGGAACTAGGGGCCCTAACTAGTTGGCTTTGGGTATAGGAGACCCATCTTTGAAATTTGGTGGGGAGTGAGGAGGGGGAGGGGGGGACATCACAATGAAACTACACATCCCATCAAGCTCAGCTACAGTTGCATGATGGGAAGTATTGTTAGTTATGACCTCGAAAATTGTTAAAACCCTCCCCCCCCCCAAAAAAAAATAATAATAATTCAAAGAGGGCGGTATCCGTGAAACGGCTAGTATCTGACTATTTGAGTAGGCATATGACTATGACTGCGTCAGCGCTCTATTTAATAACATAATAATTAATATAACTAGAGGTTGTAGGAACAACCACACGGTGTTGGGCCATGGATCACCGCAAACTTTGCCACACACATCAACTCAAAATATGCATGTTTAAATCCATGTTTGATTTTTCAACATGCCGCCAGAGGGCGCTCTAACATTTGATGACGTCACCTGTAAAATTGTTGTACAGTACTGCCTAGGCAGACACTCGAATCGTTGAAAGCAAGTTCGCATCTTCTGCCAATTTCAAATAAGGCACTTCCGGTTTTGACCGGAAGGAAGGGTCACGTGATTTTGCACTTAAAACCAAAAATGAAGACCCTGCAATATTTTATCGATTGCCACAAAAAACAAAATCAATCCGTTGCTTGCTAATGTCGCATAGGAAATACATGTACATTGTATTTTGGTTGAAGATGACTACTCAAACAGTAAGAGGGCTTAAGGAAGGCAGTGGGAGGGGACATCTGCACCAAAACTTGAGGTTTCAGGTATTGGTTATGACAGTTTATGGAAACATCTCATCAACCCTCACCCCTCAGGATCTCCCAAACAAATCCCAAGGAGAATGTTTATTTAGTAAATATGTATTTTTTTAAAGTTACTTTCGGGGAATAAAATCTTTGCTTGTCAAGTCAAATGGAGATACATTGTCTAAAGCCATTTCCAGCTTTTATTATAATGACAAAACATTAAATCCCAAAAGTGTTCCAAGATTCTTCCCATGTAAAAATGGCTGCCTATGCATTATGGTCTTGGCTTTAGAAGACGAGCTGTAAACAACTTCTATTCTACAGTTAACTGGAAAAAAAACAAGAGTAAAACTTGACATTAATGTAATTGTGCAAACCTCAGAACAAGAAAAAGAAACAGCTCAAAATAATAACTCTTAATTTGGTTTCAAATACATACAATTTTATTTGAATTCTACATGAATATCCGTGTATTTACTGGAATTAAATAAAACCTATGCTTTTTATGGGACACTTCATTCATTTATTAATGCATAAACTCAAGTTCAAAATATCATTAATAGAAAAAGACATATTTTGTTTATAAATGTGTATACATGTATTGCCAAAAGAAGTTTCGACTTATCTTCAGAGAAAAAAAACATGTACAGTCGAATCCCGTTAGTACAAACTCTGTTAATACAAAATTCTGGTTATAACAAACATAAAGCCTTAGTCCTGACTGTGCATTTATGTGCACAATGAATGGGACTGATGTTCCTCTTAATACAAAATTCTGATATAACAAACAATTTGGCTAGGTCTGAAGGAGTTTGTATTAACGAGACTCGACTGTATTAGCTGACAGGTTTATTTTTTTCTGTGGGTCATAGATGAGAAATTAAACACATCGAAAAGTTGCTTTGACATTTCATGAGCATTGCATCCATTTTAAATAAAAAACAGCAATGTATACTTAAAATTAACCATATGTGTGTGAACTTAGAATTTATTGACCACAAATAAAATTTGTTGTTTTGTGGAGTACATATATAGATTTCCATGTCTAAGTACTATAGAAATTTTACAAATTTATTCACATTCATTGTAAAATAGATTTATGTATATTAGATTGCAATAAGTTAATAAATCTATACAGAGGTACATGTTACATGTACATGTAGATAACAGCATGTGCACAGAACCCTTTACTGTTAACAAACTTTAAAACCTTGAAAGTTTTAAACCCTTTACTGTTTACAAACTTTAAAATATAAGGAGATGTATTTTAACAATATGGCAATTAACCATCAAAATGAAATGGTTGTTTTAACTGATGATTTTGTAACAAACAGATCTTATTCTATTTCTTTTAAAGGGTGGGTGCAATTAAATTGAAAACCAATTTCTAACCAAAGAACTCAGTACATACATGCCAGTATGCTTTAGTTAGTTTCAGGGTCACAAGAAAGCACTCCTTTTGACTCTTTAAATTTTTCATGAAATACAAGGGCATTGTTTGTGCTGTTTCATGAAGGGAACCCAGAGCTAAAAAGTAAAGAAAACACATAAAACTTCAAGGTGCAGCTTGAGTCTACTAAGTTGTTTTGACACCCTACAACTTGTACCGAATCATTACAAAGCAGGTACCAATCTAATCAGGTCAATAGATACAGGAAAAGTCATAGGAAAATAAAAATCGTTCAACTTTTTATCACCAGTGTATGTAATTACTGCTGCTGTTGCCCACATGACATCATAAATTTGCTCGTGAATATGCAAATTTTCATTAGCATAAACACAGGAAATTTGCAATTACAGCTCAAAACTTTTACGAATTTGCATTCAACAGGTAGTAGCATGAAAAGTACACTCTTTTGCATGGTTTTTGAATGTGAAGTAAGCCAGTGACATTATGAGCCTTAGATGCAGCAGTACACTAACCCCCTAGTTAAGTGGAACCACCGACTCGCGACAGTTGGTGAGCGCACAACATACTTGCGCAATTTTATCAACTTTAGGCACCTTTTATTTCTCAGATGTAACTAAGGATTCCCATGGAACTTTTTCAGACAAAATGCTGTAAGTCTCTCTCAGTTCTCCGATGACACGTTCAACATGTATGCGAAGGTGAGCAATTTTCCGTGATCTCTCAACATCCAGTACTGAAAGTTGGGGCTTGCCTTTTGAGAAGGCTGGCGTCAGAAGCTGTGCACAGTAGAATCCGACCTCATCAGAAATGTTAAATCCTCGATCAGCTAAAACGTAGTCACCGGGTAACAGTTTGTACAAGAAGTCAGACTGAAGTGTGATGGCTTTGTCTGATCCCCTTCCTCCCCATGCTGAAGACAGATATGATATGATGCCTGAAGGGGTGATACCTATCAAGAATTTGACTGTATTGTGGTGCTTGTAATTCGACCATGTCTGTGCTCTTGCCTCTACACTTGATGGACGGACACAGAATACTTCAAAGCAATCAATGATCACGGCAACATGTTTGCCAAAGGCTTGTCTGAAATCCATTGGCATTGTTTTCCACAAGGTCTCTCTGGAAGGCCACATTATCAGTGGTGACAGCTGGGTAGATAGAATGTCCAACATCAGAGAAAATATGCGGCACACTGTAGCTTCGCTCACTTGAAAACGAAAAGCAAGATCTTTGTGCTTCAGGTTTAACTTAAGTTTCAACAGAACCAGTACAAGTTGCTGAAATGGTGTCAGAATTTTCCTCACAGGAATTTTAGGTAGTACAAAATTGAAGACTGCCATCAAAACTGTATGTGTCGGAAGTCCAGTGTAAAACTTCACTTTATCATCATCTTTGAAGTACTGTTCATTGATTGTTGCTCTTTCCACTGTCTTCATGGCCCGCTGAAGCTCTGAGCTGTTTCCTGCTGCCCGACCTTCCAGAACACTTATGTCTATGGCATAAAGATCAGGCCAAAAAAAAAATAGTTCTGCTTCCGGTTACCCGACCGACCCTATTCGGCAATTCAAAAAAAATTTAAAAAAATAAAAATTTGAATAAATACTTTTCTGTCTTCACAAAATACCTCTTAACAACCCTTTTGCATCCAAAAATGCTTGTATTTATTTGTTTTCTTACTTACATTTGCTTTTTTTCAAAAGAAACCTCCGTTATTACAAATTCGCTTCGCGATATAACTACTTCGCAACTCGGTGTCACGCACGGTGACTATAATCACGTGGTGACGACTGGTTCCTGCCACGCAGGGGCCAATTTAGAAGACATAATGAAAATGCGGTAACCAGTCCATAGCTAGCTATGTGACCGATAGCGCGCTATCAGTACAGTGCAGGCCACTGTCAACTGGTCTGATTCGACATCGTAAAAATGCCAAGAAAACACCGATGGAGAAAGAACATTTTTGCAAGTTAATTTACAGAATTGATCTAGCTTGTCTGTGTATGTATTTTCTGTGTTCAAGAGTTCATTTTGAGATCGCACTACTCATATTTGGAGTGATACATGCCGCGTGTTTCCCGAAATTGTTGACCGTAAAAACAGGTCTGTCGGCCCATGGTGGGCTGCTCGCCACACACGCACGCATCACACACCTCGGAGTTTTGGCCAGCTTCCCGCGTCTTGACTAGCGTCGTGCATATGGTGCGAACGGCCTGAATTTTCCATTTTTTTTTGAAATTATCGAATGTAAATATATTGACAATAATTAAAGGTAGGTTTTACTCACTTTTTGTTGCCATTTCGTGTATAGCTTTCGTAGTGCAATAGAAATAGTTCAGGCTAAAACTTCGCATATAATTGAATACCCCATTCAATCTGCATAAAAAAAATTGGCCAAAAAAAAAAAAATGTCCGACCGACCGACCCTATTTTTGAAAGGCATGTAATCAGAAGCAGAACTAATTTTTTTTGGCCTCAGTCTGGGTGCTCACGTTCTTAAATGAGGGTTTCTCTGTCTGCACACCTTTGTTGTTTTGGTTTAGAAGTGTTGCTTGGTCTTGGGGTTCCTTGGTCTGGGGTTGATGTCGTTTTGATCGCTCATATCGTTGCTGACTGATGAGAAGGGTGCTTTGACATAGCTTCTTGTGGCCCAAGTTAATGGTTGGCGCCCAGTCTATGCTCAATTCATCATACAAAGCTGCTGGTCGACCTGCAATTAACATAAGTATGCAAAGTGATAAGTACACGTTCACATGCTGAGCACTATATCTTATTCCCAATCTTCTGAAGGTTATAATTCCAAACAAGCTATTTGATCTAATAACAAGTTTCCAACTCCCATTTTAATTGGGAATTATGTGACTGATTATAAAGGCCTAGCTGATGCAAAACACAACTGCAAGAAGTATTTATTTGATTGAATTTCAAAGAAAAATTCATGTGAATGCAGAGTAATGTTCGCTCTATGTTTTTTAGCAGGCTGATAAATTTACAACAGAAAAGAAATGAAAACCAAATGGGTCCAAAATTGTTTGTATTAAAGTAGCAAATACTACAGCTTTTTTTTCGGAAACAGTTTCTGTAATCGTTCACCATTTTCTGACACTGACATCCATTCTTTCATTAAAATGGAAACAAATTATTTGCTAGTATAAAAGGCTAAGAACAAAGCAGGCCTATAGGCTTTGATCTGGATAAGCTCCCTCAATGACATGAATAGGAACTGAATATTTGGCGGAGAAATATTTATTCTTTAAAGAAAAAAAGGAGGAAAAAATGGGTGAAAATTTATTTTAAAAATTACAACGAAAGTACTTTTCGAAATGGATTTTCAGGAGGAGATTGAGTCTTGCCTGTGGGCCAATTGAAGTTCGAATCACACACAAAAATAAAATAAAATATAATAATAAATAAAAGAAAATAAGTAAATAAATAAATAAATACAAAGGTCCATAATTATGAGCCCCCTCCAAAAAACAGAAGCCAAATCCTGGGTGCGCTGCATGGTGCCTGTATTTTAACCAGGATCCCTAAAAAAAAATGCAAATTTTGAAAAGGTAACACTTTGCTTGGGTGGTTTAAAAGTAGATGTCATGCACAACTATGTCAGACTTTGGACAATGGTGCTGGTTATACTACATGTACATGTATAGCGAAAAAGAAAACGTGTTTTTGTGGGAGCAACTATAGAATGCAGGGCCACGCCGGAGCAAGGTTTTTTATTCTGCTTGGAGGCGTGGATCGAGGACGGCGATGTGAGGATAGGAGTAATAGGTTAACAATATAATAATAAATATGCAACCCTGCAAAAAGTGCTAAGTACAGCAAATGCACTTGTCTTCTATTCTTCTCATGAAGGATCGGAAGGGAGGACGCTTGTAAATGTGTCAGGGCACGGAGGCGTGGAGTCGCGGAGACGCGGGGCACTGGAGTCGCGGAGTCGCAGAGACACGCGCAGATAAAGGGCGCAATTCTCGGCGGTATTTTTTTTTGAGAACGTAGCATCCATATCCATTTTAAATGGGCTCGCAAAGGAAGGGAGGAGGGCGACGGGGCACTGGAGTCGCGGAGACGTGGGGCACTGGAGTCGCAGAGACGCGCGCCGATAGAGGGCGCAATTTTCGGCGGTATTTTTTTTTAGAACGAAGCATCCATATCCATTTTAAATGGGCTCGCAAAGGAAGGGAGGAGGGCGACGGGGCACTGGAGTCGCGGAGGCGCAGAGACACGCGCCAATAGAGGGCGCAATTCTCGACGGTATTTTTTTGAAAACAAAGCATCCATATCCATTTTAAATGGGCTCGCAAAGGAAGGGAGGAGGGCGAAGGGGCACTGGAGTTGCGGAGGCGCGGAGTCGCAGAGACACGCGCTGATAGAGGGCACAATTCTCGGTGGTATTTTTGAGAACAAAGCATCCATATCCATTTTAAATGAGCTCGCAAAGGAAGGGAGGAGGGCGACGGGGCACTGGAGTCGTGGAGGCGCGGAGTCTCGTAGACGCGGGGCACTGGAGTCGCGGAGTCGCAGAGACAGGTGCCGATGGAGGTCGCAATTCTCGGCGGTATTTTTTTGAGAACGAAGCATCCATATCTATTTTAAATTGGCTCGCAAAGGAAGGGAGGAGGGCGACAGGGCACTGGAGTCGCGGAGTCGCAGAGACGCGCACCGACAGAGGGCGCAATTTTCAGAGATATCGACTGCGGCTCCACGCCTCCACGATTTTCGGAGGTAGGTCAACTGCGGCTCCACGCCTCCACGCAGCCGTACGGAGGCGCGGATGTAGAGTGAAGTGGCCCTGCATTCTATAGTTGTACCTTTTTGTGCACAGCAAAATACGGCGATGATTTTCCTCATTTTGCTGTCTGCTTTTAGTCGGAATAGGCTACTCCTAGAACTAGTACTATGAGGCTCCCCTGGAGCCTCATAATTCTTTTAGTCGGAATAGGCTACTCCTAGAACTATGAGGCTCCCCTGGAGCCTCATAATTCTAGGAGTAGCCTATTCCGACTAAAAGCAGACAGCAAAATGAGGAAAATCATCGCCGTATTTTGCTGTGCACAACTTCAGGCCTAGTATTAGTTACTACTCCTAGAACTATGACTATGAGTTAGTCCGAGTAACTTGGACCCAACTTATCGCCTTTTTTAACATTTGGACATGGTCTGGGGATAGTAAGGTCCAAGCTAATACCGAGACCTAGACAACACAGTCCCAAAAACCAACATTTTCCAACAAAAAACATCAGATTTCACCTTCAAAACGGCCTCCAAATTACTAGATATGCCACCTGAGGTACAAGTAGACATCGATAATTAAGATGGTTGTACTGAAGTTTACTTGCGATCCGGAAAAAAGTGAAATTTTCCGTTCAATTCTGAAGACCCCCTCTGCCTAGGTTGTCGTTGTTGTGCTCACGTTCAAAACTGCATGATAATGGCGTCTGACCTCGACCTCGTGCAAATGTCGTGACGGCGCGCTTGCGCATAATGCACTGCATGCACGGCAGATTCCCCTGCGCCGCGCCGACGACTGTTTCCTGATGTAGAGTGCTGTGTAAGTTCGCGGTACGCCTAGGAGTCGCGCTGGCTAGCCAGGCGCATGGCTGGCGCTCTACATCAGGAAACAGTCGTCGGCGCGGCGCAGGGGAATCTGCCGTGCATGCAGTGCATTATGCGCAAGCGCGCCGTCCAGACATTAGCATGAGGTCGAGGTCAGACGCCATTATCATGCAGTTTTGAACGTGAGCACAACGACGACAACCTAGGCAGAGGGGGTCTTCAGAATTGAACGGAAAATTTCACTTTTTTTCCGGATCGTAAGTAAACTTAAGTACTACAACCATCTTAATCATCTATGTCTACTTGTACCTCAGGTGACATATCTAGTAATTTGGAGGCCGTTTTGAAGGTGAAATCTGATGTTTTTTGTTGGAAAATGTTGGTTTTTGGGACTGTGTTGTCTAGGTCTTGGTATTAGCTTGGACCTTACTATCGCCAGACCATGTCCAAATGTTAAAAAAGGCGATAAGTTGGGTCCAAGTTACTCGGACTAGACTATGAGTCATACTAGTTCTAGGAGTAGTGTAATACTAGGCTACTCCTAAAACTATGAGGCTCCACGTAGTGGAGCCTCATAGAGTCAGAAGCCCGCAAAATTGTTGTCAACACAAAACACTAATTAAGTACAAAAACGTCCATCCCAACCAAGCTTTTTCCCACAGAACCGCTGCACAGTTTGCCCCTAAACTCCGTACAATACCTCATGACATACTCACGTTATGTGCACCCAACAAACATCGGTGGATTCTGTCTGTTTTTAGGCCAAAATGATGAAAACTATGCCCTTTCCGCACTGAGCCAACCTAACACTTGAAGCGAGCACGCGCGCTGATATCGCAGTCATTTTCGGGTTCGATGCTCGGAGCGCGCCGCGGGGGGTATGGTGTAGGAGCGGATTGATAGTATGCGCATGCGTACAAGTGCAAGTACGTACCCCCCGCGGCGCGCTCCGAGCGATCGAACCCGAAAATGACTGCGATATCAGCGCGCGTGCTCGCTTCAAGTGTTAGGTTGGTACGGAAGCTTGAATTGCCTTCCGCGATACCGCGTTACTGCGATAATTTATCACAGAAATCCGGAAATCAAAGATAAATCCTTCCGCGATACCGCGTTACTGCGATAATTTATCACAGAAATCCAGAAATCAAAGATAAATCATTCAACGATACCGCGTTACTGTGATAATTTATCACAGAAATCCAGAAATCAGAGATAATTCCTTCCGCGATACCGCGTTACAGTGATAATTTATCACAGAAATCCAGAAATCAGAGATACGTTTTCCTCGATACCGCGTTACTGTGATAATTTATCACAGAAATCCAGAAATCAGAGATACGTTTTCCGCGATACCGCGTTACTGTGATAATTTATCACAGAAATCCGGAATTCAAAGATACGTATTCCTCGATACCGCGTTACTGCGATAATTTATCACAGAAATCCGGAATTCAAAGATAATTCCTTCCGCGATACCGCGTTACTGTGATAATTTATCACGGTAACGCGGTATCGCTGAATGATTTATCTCTGAATTCCGGATTTCTGTGATAAATTGTCAGGGTAAGGCCAAAAAAAAAAATAAGTCGGTCTCTGGTCAGCGCGCGCGTCGATTTTAATCATGCGCGTCGATCTTTTTTTCCCCAAAATGTTCCGCGGTAGCTCCAACAGCGCCCTCCATTTCCGCACCTCCTCAATTTTTTTTTCACCAAAGAGCACCAAGGAATGGGAAATTGCACCAAGGCAAATGATCGAAAGCACCAAGGCAAATTATGGAGGACACTAATGTACATGAGGACACCAAAAAAGCAAAATAGTACCCACCTTGTCTGTACAATCCAAGCTTGAAGAAAAAAAAAAAAGCCGCGTGGCCGCGTCAATTCCGGAACTTTGGTCTGACCAGAGACCGAATTTTTTTTTTTTGGCCTAACGCGGTATCGTTGAATGATTTATCTTTGAATTCTGGATTTCTGTGATGAATTATCACAGTAACGCGGTATCGAGGAAAAGGTATCTCTGATTTCTGGATTTCTGTGATAAATTATCGCAGTAACGCGGTATCGTTGAATGATTTATCTTTGATTTCACGATTTCTGTGATAAATTATCGCAGTAACGCGGTATCGCGGAAGGAATTATCTTTGATTTCCTGATTTCTGCGATAAATTATCGCGGTAACGCGGTATCGCGGAAGGCAATTCAAGCTTCCGTAGGTTGGCTCAGTGCGGAAAGGGCATAGTTTTCATTAGCCCCACTAGTGTGGCCGTCGGTATGCTGCGCTGAACCTAAGGCCACACACCGTGGTACCGCGCGCTACTGAGGACGAAGTTTTCATAAAATTCAGGGCAGTTTCTTACATTCTCAGTTTCTTACTTTCTTATGGTTGTATTCTATGATGTCTCACCAATCACTTCTGGAATGCTAAGGTCTAATGATGTTCCATTTTCCGAGATATTCTTCAATCTTTCTGGAGTCCATATGCACTCGTGAAACGTCTGGTGATGGCAGCCATTTTGAATGGGACAAGAGATGACCTCAAGCTGTGACGTCGCGTGTATGCAAATTGCTTGTCGAGCGCGCGAGGGCGCGAGTTGCAAATGCGACGGCTGTTTCCTGTACCATGCATTTATCGTCAGGGGGCCACGTGCACCGATCTCTATTCAGGATCTACGGCACAGGAAACAGCCGTCGCATTTGCAACTCGTGCCCTCGCGCGCTCGACAAGCAATTTGCATAAACGCGACGTCACAGCTTGAGGTCATCTCTTGTCACATTCAAAATGGCTGCCACCACCAGACGTTTCATGAGTGCATATGGGCTCCAGAAAGATTGAAGAAGAATACAGGTCAACTCGTACGCGAACCAACTCGTACGCGACCAACTCGTACGCGGGTCAATTCGTACGCGAACCGACTCGTACGCGGACCGACTCGTACGCGGACCGACTCGTACGCGGACCAACTCGTACGCGGACCAACTCGTACGCGTGAGTTTAGACGATTGGTTTAGCTCACATGGACAGATGAAATTAGGTTCGGTACGGTAGGTCGGCATAATTTTACCTTTTCTGAAAGGTTGAGATTTTCAAATTACATGTAGTTGATTTTTGAATCCGCCAGTGCTACTTACAGTAGAAGAATTCTGCGTTTGTTTTTTTTTTTACAAGTTCGCTTGATTGATTGGGAAGTTGTCATATTTGCGAGGTCTATTGTATAAAAAGGAGCTACTATAAAAAAAGGAATATAGCATCACGCATGCTTGTACAGTTGTACGGACAGTGTCCGCCAGTTTTTTGCTAGGTTCAGATAGTTTTTTAGTCCTAATTATTATATATCCAAATAATATTTTGTAAAAAAAGAAAAAATGGGGAGTTGATTTTTTCATTTTTTGTTAAAATCAGAATTTTATATTATTTCACCGGAAATGCGAGGTTTCTTGGGTCAAATGCGCTTTTCTTGGGTCAGAAAATTAATTTTTTGCTTGGGTCCGATAATTTTTTAGTCCTAATTATTATGTATCCAAATTATATTTTGTAAATTAAAACAATGGGGAGGTGAATTTCATTGATTTTTTAAAATTAGAATTTTATTTAATTTCACCAGAAATTCGAGGTTGCCCTAAAAATATTTTTTTTTCTTGGATCCGAAAATTAATTTTTAGCTTTGGTCCGATAATTTTTAGTCCTAATTATTATGTCTCCAAATTATATTTTGTAAAATAAAACAATGGGGAGGTGAATTTGATTTATTTAAAAAAAATTGAATTTTATTTAATATCACTGCAAATGCGTGGTGGCCCTGAAAAGGACCGATTGTGTTTTCAGTTAGTGCAATTGTCTATTCTCTCACTCCCAATCACACACAACGGTCACACATTGAACTACGGACTACCCGTCACACTATTCCCAAATTCTTCCCAACCATGCCAACCCAATCCTCGAAACCACTCCTAAAATGGCCCGCGTACGAGTTGGTTCGTGTACGAGTTGGCTCGCGTACGAGTTGGCTCGCGTACGAGTTGGCACGCGTACGAGTTGGTTCGCGTACGAGTTGTCTCGCGTACGAGTTGACCAATCCGCGTACGAGTTGACTCGCGTACGAGTTGGTTCGCGTACGAGTTGACCTGTTTCCTTGAAGAATATCTCGGAAAATGGAACATCATTAGACCTAAGCATCCCAGAAGTGATAGGTGAGACATCATTCATAGAATACAACCATAAGAAAGTAAGAAACTGAGAATGTAAGAAACTGCCCTGAATTTTATGAAAACTTCGTCCTCAGTAGCGCGCTGTACCACGGTGTGTGGCCTTAGGTTCAGCGCAGCATACCGACGGCCACACTAGTGGGGGGTCGCACTAAACAGCGTCAACGCTTTCGAGTCAACTCGTACCTTGGGCGACTCGTACCTTGGACAACTCGTACCTTGGACAACTCGTACCTTGGACATCTCGTACCTTGGATAACTCGTACCTTGGACAACTCGTACCTTCAATTAAGACGACTCGTACCATCAGAATAAAAAGTAGAGTACATGTACACTGTACGTGCGTGACTTAGTGTGTGGTTCCTTGGCTCCGAAACGATACGATTCTTTTCAAGTCAAAGTTAATTTCCTTCTCACAGAATAACCAAAGTATACAAGAGCAGTCAGTACTTTTAAATGATTCAGTCCTTTCATAGCTATAAGTCTGAAAGTCTAAAATGTAAAAAATAAAATTCACAGTTGGTTTATTCATCAACTGGTTTATTCGAAACATTTACAAATTGGGGGCGGGGGTTTGGCCAGATGTTTCGTCATAGTCCGACTTGTTGAAATGAAATCGATTCACGATGAACAGCAGACAAGCAATCGTCTCTTGAGCAGCGCAATGGTTCATCAGAAACCCGCAAGATCATCTGAAAAAAAAATAGCGGTAAACACATAGTTTTGGGATGAAAATATATCGATTCCGTAATACATGTATTTGCAATTTTTTAAGTAGGCCTAAGTTGAAAAACGGGAAACTGCAACAATGTCACCGTGCACGGACGGTCCGACTTGTTAAAATGAAATCAATTAATAATGGTGGACTAGCAGCAATTGTCTTTCGAGCAGTGCAGTGGTTCATCAGAAAACCGCAGGTTCATCTGTAAAAAATAAATAAAAAAAATTGCGGTGAACACATAGTTTGGGATGAAAATTAGTATTTCCTAACAAAATTGGAAATATTTGTCAGTCCAAGATTCACGTCTTATCATTTTTGCGGGGAAAAAAAAGAAGTAGTTCAGGCGATTATAGGGATCAATAATAGAAAAATGTTGCAACCTGACGCCACTTTTTTCTTCATATATATATCATTTCAATGATGGTCATTTATTGCAAAAATGATGGTAAGACGTGAATCTTGGATAAAAACATCAGTTCCATAATATTTTCACGTAGCCTAAGTCTCTAAACGTAACGGCAGACTGCATCAATGTCACCGTTCACAGACGTCCATATTGACCGGTCAGCGCGGCGCAAGAACCGTGTCACTTTGCACGGATGCCGCGTGGGCCTGTGCATGCCGCGCACACAGTGCGTGTAAGCTGCCGCGGCCGGCTTCGCGCTTAATAAATTCTTCTTTTGGGGGGGAAAGAGAGCCTTTACCAAAAAGAGATTCACCTTTATTTTAATAAGCATTCCACTTTCAATGAGTTACGGTCCACTTTATTCAGCCTCGGATCATTATCCTGATTGACGGGTAAATCATTGACGGTACGACTTGTCTTATGCGTGATGGTACGAGTCGTCTTAACTGAAGGTACGACTTGCCGAAGGTACGAGTTGTCCAAGGTACGACTCGGTATAATGACGTCGAGTTGAAGGTACGAGTTGTCCAAGGTACGAGTTGCCCAAGGTACGAGATGACCTGTTACCGCGTCAACACAGCGTCAACACAGCGTCAACACATGACAGAAGCGTCAACACACCGTCAACACATCCAAAACACATTCTGAATTGACAAAAAGGGCATATAATTGTGAAACATACAATAAAAGAGAATTTCCATTGGATTGAGTTTCCATTTCGTTGTTAAAAATATCGTATTTTCACGCGAAAAAAATTACCTTCACTTGCACGGCCGTTGTCCGCCATCTTGACTTCGCACAAAGCTTGGACTACACCATTTCAAGTAGGGGTGTGTAGGTAATGACATTATCTTGTCATAAACAACAGAGGGCGCCTTGCTGGAGACTAGACAGAGGGATACCAGATCTGTGTGAGGACTAAGGATCGGAGGAGTGGTAGATCATTATTTTGTGAGTTGTGTTTATGTTTTGGTCTTTGCAGATATTTTTAACACTGGCGACCCCGGCCGCGTCCCTCTCTGTTGGTTTATTGTACAACGCTATCACCCTTTAGAATAATGGTATGGTCCGCGCTGCCACTGAGGCAACATGGCGGGTGTTCGGCAGCCGATTTCGGAGCGGCACGGAGAGCCAATTTTCTTGAACTAAAAATCGCGATTTTCAGACGTTTAACCTTTTGATTTTAAGCACAAATCTTGTTTCTGTCCATACTGTATGGGTTACATACTGCTTTTGTAAATTTCGGAGCGGCACGGAGAGCCAATTTTCTTGAACTAAAAATCGCGATTTTCAGACGTTTAACCTATTGATTTTAAGCACAAATCTTGTTTCTGTCCATACTGTATGGGTTACATACTGCTTTTGTAAATTTTAATGCATTTTGGATGTGTTGACGCTGTGTTGACGCTTTGGAGTGTGTTGACGCTGTTTAGTATGACCGCTAGTGGGGCTAAGTTTTCATCATTTTGGCCTAAAAACAGACAGAATCCACCGATGTTTGTTGGGTGCACATAACGTATGTCATGAGGTACTGTACGGAGTTTAGGGGCAAACTGTGCAGCGGTTCTGTGGGAAATAGCTTATTTGGAATGGACGTTTTTGTACTTAATTAGTGTTTTGTGTTGACAACAATTTTGCGGGCTTCTGACTCTATGAGGCTCCACTACGTGGAGCCTCATACTAGTTCTAGGAGTAATACTAGGCCTGAAGTTGGGTTTGAAAGCAGCTACATGCTTTAATGGTAAAACCTTTGCCTTATGTGTATTTTTATCTCAAGAAAGTCTGCTTATGATGAACCATAGGATAAACTGACCTGAATCAAAGTGGTCCGAGCAAACTTTGTAGTGGGTTTTCGTCGCATCCAAGTCTGCACGTCATGCACGTGAAATGTTTGCAACTGCAAGCCACTGCACTCTTTTCCTTATACTATAGTTGTTTTTTTCCCCCTGGTGGTGGATAATTTTGGGGATGGAATAGCACGATTTGTCCTTTTCTCGTTCACTTCGATTGCTGCAAGCGTAAATACAGCACACATGCACCATTTTCGACGGAAAATGCAGCACTGCAGCATGCATGCAACACACAACACACAACACACACGACGTCAACTGCTACTAGCTTGTCCCATGTCGACATGTCATGGCGGACAGATCGTTGCTAAGTTACGACTTGACCTTTTGACCCCGCATGCAAGCGCGCGCTCGGACGCCCAATAAAACCATAGAGATAATCTATGAATAAAACATATCGCGTCCTGCACGCGCCGCCTGTGTAGCTGGGCGGAGACAGCATCAATGTCGTAGGGGGTTTCGTCGTAGGTGTAGAACTAGAGGCTCGAGCAATCAAACCTCGTCCCCAGTGTTTACTTTATTTCCAACCGCGTTTCCAATAGTAAACCCTGGATAGGAAACTTTCTTCCTATATCCTGATTGGATACCGCAATTGGCTAGTAATGGATTTTTATCGTGTACTTGGTGCTATATATTCACAACGTGCAGTACGTGTTTTCGCGATCATTCGTCCACACCTTCTCGAAAATACTAATTTCCTTTCCAATTTGCTCATATTAATATGAAATATGATACTGCATGTTGTCTTGTTAAGATCGTAACAGTTTGATTTCAAAAATCGTGTTTTCGTAACTCACGCCGTGCTCGCGCTGCTACGAATTGACTCTGTTTTAACCCCAGACACCGCATACAAAAACAAACGCTAATGTGTAACGCATATCCAGGTACCAGACTGTTCCTTATTTGCATACGTGTGCAAAAATCTTGCTCATGCAAACGATCCAATACCAGGGTGAGAGAGCAGGTAGTGGTGGGCGCGTACTGCTCGTAACCCTGTTGACGAGGTTGAAGCAAACAACACAAGTTGCAAGAGATAGTGTTCTGCAGTGTACGTGTTTGTACAACATGGCTGGTAGACTTGATGACAAATTCGACTAAAAAAATGGATATTTCGAGGCTGTGCAGCAGATCGCGTTGGTAAGTTGTTCTCTCAATGCCCATTCTTGTATTCATGGTATTTGGCAAAGGGAATTTGTTTTGTTGGTAGTTTTTAAAGGTCCTCAAGTTGAAGTGTAGGCCTACTTCTAAAACTCTCTCGACTCTCTAAAACTTCTAAAAAGTACCATGGACCAATTTACATGATTGCCATGTGCATGCCCGGCAGAAGGGCATAATGAGCAAATGCAATTAGTCCAGCAGATATGTGACAAAATATTGATGAATTGTGCACTTTTGCATAAAAGCATGAAACTTGGCAGAGATTTTCATATATGCCAGAAAATGTTTTAGATGTGGAGCCATCGCAAATTTACCTTTTTAGGGGCGTGGCATCTATTAAAAAAAAGAAGAAGTAAGGGGTGGGATGTCGTGCCCGAGGCAGAGGTGGCAGCAAGTCATTTTTTGCAAGTCCAAGTCCAGTCACAAGTCATTGTTTGCAAGTCCAAGTCAAGTCACAAGTCATTAGGTCCAGTCACAAGTGAAGTCACAAGTCATTAGGTCCAGTCACAAGTCAAGTCACAAGTCATTGGGTCCAGTCACAAGTCAAGTCACAAGTTATTTGGTCTAAAAACAAGTCAAGTCATAGTCCGAGTAACTTGGACCCAACTTATCGCCTTTTTTAACATTTGGACATGGTCTGGCGATAGTGGGGTCCAAGCTAATACCGCAACCTGGACAACATCATCCTGTCACTGTCCCAAAAATCAACATTTTCCAACAAAAAACATCAGATTCCACCTTCAAAACGGCCTCCAAATTACTAGATATGCCACTTGAGGTACAAGTAGACATCGATAATTAAGATGGTTGTACTGAAGTTTGCTTAAGATCCGGAAAAAAGTGAAATTTTCCGTTCATTTCGGAGAGCTCCCCTCGCGATCTTGAACACGTTAAATTTCCGATCGTGTTTAATGTTTGAACGACGCGATTTCTTCTACATGCCCAGCGTACATTCGATGGTCCCCGTATCCCGAGTGCGATGCATCGATTATGATAATGAGTCACGTTTGTAAACACATACACTGTACATGTGCATTTCGAACTGTAAAAGGGAATCGGGAACCAGCTTGAACTGGTACCCGCCATAAAAGCTGCGCATGTTCCCGACTCCCTATTATCGTTTGAAATGCACATGTGTTTACAAACGTGATCCAGTCTACTCATTATCATAATCGATGCATCGCGCGCACTCGGGATACGGGGACCATTGACGCTGGGCATGTAGAAGAAATCGCGTCGTTCAAACATTAAACACGATCGGAAATTTAACGTGTTCAAGATCGCGAGGGGAGCTCTCCGAAATGAACGGAAAATTTCACTTTTTTTCCGGATCTTAAGTAAACTTCAGTACAACCATCTTAATTATCGATGTCTACTTGTACCTCAAGTGGCATATCTAGTAATTTGGAGGCCGTTTTGAAGGTGGAATCTGATGTTTTTTGTTGGAAAATGTTGGTTTTTGGGACAGTGACAGGATGATGTTGTCCACGTCGCGGTATTAGCTTGGACCCCACTATCGCCAGACCATGTCCAAATGTTAAAAAAAGGCGATAAGTTAGGTCCAAGTTACTCGGACTAGTCAAGTCACAAGTTTCTTTGTCCAAGAACACGTCAAGTTGCACATTATTTTGGTTTCATGGGGGGGGCTGTCCCCCCCCCCCCATGAAACCTTGTCACCCCCAGTCGTCCCCCGCCCAACTGAGATTTTGAGTTTCTAAAAAAATTATCATTGATCTACATGACGCCCCACATGGAATGTTCCAGCCCCCCCCCCCCCCCCCCCCCCAGCATGAAAAATTCCTGGCTACGCCACTGGACAGTGGATCCACAGATTTTACAAACAGCAGACCTTTTACTTGCTGCAGTTGAATTGTAATATCGGTATGCAAAACTCCACCCGGCCGTGGAACAACACCGCTAGAAGCCGCCATGCTTGCTTGTCAATTATGACATATTGAGGGCACTATTTATTTCACTCAAGCGTACGCAACGTAACAGCTCAGCTCACTGATATGATCTACAGCTGCAGCTGGGCGAAGTAGAAACCGCGCAAGCCAAAGTCCGTTTTTTAATGCACGTAAGGCGTAAACCGAATAGCTAATTAAAAGTATAATAACTTAATTAAAGTGTATTGGGTCGCTCGAGTAGCGTCTGACTTGGGTTGGTAACAAGTCATTTTTTGCAATCTCAAGTCAAGTCAAAAGTCATTGTTTGCAAGTCCAAGTCAAGTCACAAGTCAAAGCTGGTATTTACAAGTCAAGTCACAAGTCACAAAAATAGCGACTCGAGTCCGACCCGAGTCCAAGTCACATGACTCGAGTCAGCAACTCTGGCCCGCAGTGAATACGGTTGTTCCCACTTGTCACAAAAGCAGGAACTTCACAAAGACATAATTATATAGATTATAAGTGTTATCCAGATTCGGAACCGCCACAAAAGTACCTTTTTGGGGGCGTGGCAGCCATTTACAAAAAAGGGGGAGGGAATTATTATGCCCACCTTGGGAAAAACTGTGCCCATATTTAATGAACGAATAAAACGTCCCCAGACGTTTATGTTCATGAGAAGAAAAAAAATTCCAGATGTGGAGCCATCTCGAACACACCCTTTAGGGCGTGGCAACCATTTATTAGGAAAAGGGGGAGGGTGGGGTTTTCATTATGAATTTGGGAAATATTGTTCCCAAATTCACAGAGAAATGGAACTTTCCACAGACATTGACATTCATAAGAAAAAAAATTAAAGATGTGGAGCCATCGCAAACACACCCTTTTAGGGACGTGGCAGCCATATTGAAAAAAGGGGGTGGGGTTCTCATTATGCCCACCATGGGAAAAATGTGTCCACATCTCATTAACAAATAAAACTAATTGCCACAGACATTAATATAGGTTTTCCCGGCCAATTTCACAAAATTTTCATTCAATTTAACGCCTGGCTCATTCGATTTAGATTGAAATTGAAAGATCATGCAGATCGGCATTAGACAATCAGAAAGAATCATTCAATTTCACTATCCGAGCATTCTATCGCCTTTTAGCTTCACTCGTCCCTATCAAAGATGCATTCATATTAAAAGTATCGCGTTGTTCATTCAATTTCGTCTAAACCATTAGTACGGGGTTTATCGGGCATTCGTTTTCATTAATGGGCAAACGTGTTTCACATTTTGTCAAACATCTTTTAAGACTTCATATCATACGTGTCCGTATTCCTTAGCGTAAATCATATTTAATTTGATGACTTCAAACCGTACATTGACTTTCTGTCTTAAAGGGTATGTGCAATGAATTTTTCTCAGGAATTCTTTTTGCGCAACTCTGTGAAATGTAAGAAAACTACACATTTGACAACACTTTTTTGGGTTTAATCTTATTGCAAATGTGCACTTCTTTAAGCATTTAAAAGTTTCCATGTTTTTCCGGACTAACGCTGTTACTGTGATGTCATTTCGGGAAGACACTGTTCAGTTTAGGGTTGTTTCTTTCAAATTATTCATCCAAAATTTGCTAATTAAAAAACATTTGTGGGAAAGGGATGGTCATTGGCTTAATGCCATTTACTGACACATCATATAAGCACCAAGTAAAAGAAATTTATGACTACAAAAGATCCAAAATTCTAGCAACTTGTTTTGCTGAAATAGCCGTGTACTTCACAGGTTTTTCTAATGAATATGAAACTTTGCATTAGCATAAAAACGGAGAAGGCACCAAAAACACCCCTCAAAATGGAAAATAAAACTTGCAAATAAGGTTAAATGTGACACAAAGATGTATTGCATTGAAAACTTTGCATGGGCCCTATGAATATGGTAAGTGTTCGGTCAGACATACGCAAGAAAACATTTAAGAAATAAGATC